GTTTAGAGACCGGGAGGTTGTTCGGAGACCATACAAAGTGGGTGGAGAAATCGGTCCCAGAACCGGGTGACCTAAACAGTTATCGGATGCTTGGAATAGCTTATACTAGTTCCCAATAGAATGATGTGTATTGTATTCGCATATCATTATTATAACTGTCCATGATGCAACTATAATGCATTAATCGTGTTTTCCCGCTTTTAGATTTAGGTATACATAGTGTTGGAAAATATTTGATTTGTTTTACCTCTTTTAAAGAATGATTCAATGGTTCAATTTTATGAAATATTCAATTTGCCATTTGCCTATATAATGTACTTATGAATTATTATAGTTGTAAAAACTACGAAATTCAGTATCAAACCAATAAATAGCTTAAATATTTTCAGAGTTATCATATTAAAAAGGAAATTATATTTTTTTAAATTTAAAACAATAATATTAAACACTATATTAAATTATTTTAACTATAATATCGTTTAATTTATAATTAATTAAATAACTATTATCATTTATTATATTAGTTGATAATATAATTATTGATATTATTACAAAACGCAATAATAAATATTAGTTACACATTTTGATAAGTAGCTAATTTACATGTGAAAATTTTACTCAGTAACTGTATAGATAACTTAGATACGTGTTAAATATTAATATTTTACTCATGATTTTCATCCACTAAACAATTTCAAAAAGTAAATGCATAATATTCGTAAATTTTATATTTATTTTATTTTTAATTTTCATTTAAATATACTTACATCGCCGAGTCACGCAAAAAACGCATTTATTTTATGTACTGTATTATATATGTATACATTGCATAATATATACGGTATACCCATTTGAGAACGTCCATCCTTTCTTTACCTACATAAATTTGTGAATTGACCGCGCGTGTTTGATCATTGAAAGTTATGATTGTTTTAATTTTAAAGCGAAAGCAAGGCCAGCACTGTCATACCAACTATACCACTGTTTAATATAAATATGAAATCATTAGGTACGTCGTATTATATATATATAACGAAGTATTAGATACACGTGTTGTTTCTTCGTGTGTATAGAACGTTAAAAATAATTTATAATCGTAATTAACCATGTAATAATACTATTATTTTTTATTTTGATCAATATTTCAACTGTTCTGTTCAGTTAAATTATGTTAATATCTAATTTATTTTATATATATTGTGTAATATTGATTAGAATAAAAGTTCTTAATTTGTAATATAGTGAAAAGTATTTGTGTGTCCTTTCTATTATTTTCACCCTGTATGTGATGTACAATATACACGTATTACGTATAAGTAATATTAGTAGTAGATTTCCTTGGATTTCACGCAACCCAATCGAATCGTCGTGTGTATGTGTGTGTGTGTGATATTTATAAACGCACGTATCTAAAATTGCTATATATAGATATAGATACTACACATGAACGGCAGGTCGTTTGTGCCGTTTCGATTTGGAGTTTATTATTTTAATATAATATAATCGATTAATTGCTTGTGATTATTGTTGAATAATTAATAGTGATACGTACAATTGTAATAAGATACATTATATAAATATGTATTTAAACATCAAAGAACTACGGAATATCTTATTGTTTTTTTTTTTTTTTTTTTTTTTTTTTGGCACTTGTCAGCAAATGTCGAATCGTCGAAACGCCTAAAAATAATGCGAATTAAATCGAAGATGACGGTTCCGCAACCAATCCATAGCACGTTCCTCCCACTTTCGATGGTTCAATGACTAAAAACACCAAAAAAAACCGATCCATTTACTATATCTATACACTTTCGAATTTGTACCTTTCAAACCCATGTACGTAATATAACACGGTACACTAGTGTCGCAATAATAATACCATATCGCTCGAACCCATTCGCTCTGGTTCGGTAATATTGTTATTATTTTCGATCTTACAAATATCGCCTTGACCACCGCGGCTAATATTATTATATTACGTTGGTACACCGTGTGGTGAATATAAATCGCATAATATAATATAATAGATAAATTATGAACGATAATTTTTTACCGTATTACATAGTATACGTATACTATTATTATTGTCTCCTATATATCATTGACGGTCATCTATAAAAACGAAAAGCTCTTACATCTGGGTTAGCCCTGTATACAACAGGCACATATATCTAATATAATATCATACTTTCCGTGACACTTGTAATTTCCGCAGCTATAGCTTCCCGTGTGCATATTATAATTATTATTGTACTACTCGTTCAAAGCTTCTTTGATTTCCGATGACGTTTCTTTTTCTTTCTATATAATATGTACCCTGAGCACATATACAGTGTATACACAAGGTTGAAATTCCGGTAAATATCGATTTCCGGTTCGCTGTGGGTGGCGAGGGTCGTATTTTTTCGTTCGTAAAATCGCACAACCCCGCCAGAACCAATCGGATTTTATATATTTAATTAAATACCGGATGCTGCGTGGACGTAAAAAATAACCTTTATAACCCGAAGAATCCGGGACGAGCGAGTTAAAAAATAAAATAAAACAAAGTTGTATATATATAAGCACTATATAAGAGACAATAGACGCATAATTTTCAACAACGACGAAGAAAGTGATTTTAGTGTCGACGTGGCAGGAGGTATTATTTTAGATGTACCTATAACATAAAATCACGTAGGCAGTCGATATCACTATATTCATTTCTTTCGCCGTGAAAACTGTACGTTTATTGTATTTTGATTATACTTTGTATTTTTATGTTATGATATGGTTTTGGACGTTTTAAGATTACTACGCATGAAACGTTCATTTAAGGTACACAAATTACTGCAGTTTATAATTATTATTACTATAATGTTAAAAAAATTCAACTAACCCAAATAATCTGGGTTAGTTGTATTTCAATTTTAAAATAGTTTAATTCATTTTTTATTAAAAACTTACAGTCTGACTTGCTTATTATCATGTTTTGTCATACAATACATTTCAGGTACCAAAATGTTATCCAATAAATTCGGAATCAATGTGTCAATAAAAATATATATAATATATATTACCTTCAATAGTACAGTGTACAATACACGCTAATATTATTACACACAATATGCAATTATAATTTAGTAATTACATGTATTACGAATAAAATTTTCAAATATTTGTAATAACAATATTATATACTTTGTACTCTAATGTAAAAAACTAAAAAACGGCATTAAACAAACGCTAATAACGATCGCTAATAAAAAAAAAGGATTGAAACATAAACTTTAAAAATATATTTTTTGTAGTTACGTAATAAAATTAGAACTTAAGGAATGCTTTTATAAAAGAGATTTTATACCTCATGAAAAATATAAAATGTTTTTGTATCGAATAAATTTATTTTGTTATGAAAAGTTAAATAATTTTTAAAACCAGTTAAGTACATTGGACTCTGCGAACCAAATTCACTTAATTTCGTCTTGGACGGGTAATTATTTATAAAAGTTTAAATTTACACACTTTACTGAAGTCATAGTATTTTGTTCGGTAGCAAAAACTTAAAACAAAATTTTAAGGCTGGGGCCAAAGGTCTATCGTTATAAATAATGTTCTAAAGCCATTTTTCTAGATTACTGTCTGCCGAGATTACCTTGCGATCGAAAACAATTGTAAGTTTTCTGGCGCCCATTCTTGTCTGAAGATAATAATACATATATACTGAATACTGATATACTACATACGTATAATATTGTATACACTAACTTTTTATTACTTTATATTTTCATACGTAGGTAAATGCTAAATAGTATACAGGCAAAAAAATTATAAAATATTTCCTTTGGATTAATTATTATACAACCAGTGTTTTTCGGTGAATAAAATTTCGGTTGATTTAATATAAATATAAAATTAATTATGTTGATTAATTCCTTTTACACAAATGATTTCCATTAAACAGAGAACGAAAAAACAAAACAAAATAAAATCGAAAAAATAACAATGACTTGTCTGTTGATTATGCAGGAGCTTGGGTAATATTATTCAAATACAATGACAAAAGAAAAGTTATTAAAACAAAATTGTCCAACAAGCCTTTTTCCCTTTATTGATTGTATTTTAATATTAAGGGGTTTTAATTTTTTTCCTGGATTTTTTTAAACCAACAATATTTTTTGGGAAGATCAAACAATGTAACATAATATTATATATATTTCATACAGTTTATAATACATTATGTAATTTCATTTAAAATATACATGCATTATACATTTTGAATTATTGTAAGTCACTTTACAATATATATATAATATTTTCTAATACATATCTTCTTAAATTTTATTCTTGTATTCAAATTATTTAAATAACATTTTTTTTTTTTTTGAAAAAAACAATAAATCACAATTTTATTATTTTACAATTACGATCAAGATGATTTATTATAATAAGTAGAAATTCTATTTCTTTATTATATTTAATAAAAATATTATGTTAATGTATTGTTCTTATCATAACATAATTTTTTTATTAAATGCAAGTCGTATATACTATATATATATATTATATATATATATATATATATATATATTATAGATATTATTTAAAATTACCGATTATATGTTTTAATTAAATGAAAAATGTGACATGAAAAGTAAATTAGTGCATTAATGCAATTATACGCAATAGATATTTTTTTTTATATACTATATAAATTGTATAGTCTTATGACACGTCAAACTTGCATACGTTGTAATATTATAGAAACTTTTAAAACTACGTTTCCTCGTTCTATATAATATAAATTATAAACTATAGGAGTTTGAATTAATTTAATTTATAACACGTGTACAAGAGTAAAATTGTGTCTTATTCTAAAACACTAGTTGTGCCATTTATTGAATTTTTTTTAGTAACAATCTAAATAAAAAAAAAATCGAGTATGGACTTATAAAGCTACTTATATTTTGTATTTGTCTGATATAACATAATTTACTTACCTGAATATTATTTTGTTTCAGGAGAGCTCATCTCAGAAACTGTTTGGAAAAACTAAAAGAAATGGTCCCGCTGGGTCACGAATCATCCCGGCATACAACTTTGGGTTTGCTGACTAAAGCCAAGCGGTTCATAAAGGTAATATATATTTATTTAATTGCTAGTCCCGCGGTCACCATCCAGGGGTGTAGTTTTCGGTGAGAAATTATAAACCCTTTTGCCATTAATGGGTATCGCGTGGATATAAAATGCTCGAGCACTATATATTTCTGCAGGATCGCTCAAAGGATTATTAAGTACCTTTGAGAAATCTGCCTGACCACATCAAATGGGCTCTCACGTATAATCAACGACGGCCAATAATTATCGTATTTCTCGATATAATGATAAAGGGTTAATCTATACTCCGCACAGATTGCAGTGCACCATAAACAAGGGGTTGAGGTAATGGAATGGCTAGGGGCAAACAAGAGTCGGTGGTATGAAGGGACACGATAAACATCTACACGTGCGCGCACGCGCTTGTGTGTGTGTACTTATATAAGAGATTAAGCGCAATAACTATGGATTTAATCTGGGCTATTGGGTTTTTCGAGGAAGTGCTGTGAGAGTAACTGTGTTGTTTATGTGTGCGCGTATATATATGTATTTATTTATATGAGCGACAATTTTAATGAAACTGGATGCTGTTTTTAGTTTATATCATGCGACTGACTTAACGCATATTATATAATATACGCCATATATATAATATAGGTACGCAATACTTGATTATTATATATACCTACTACTACACTATATAATATACCTACACGAGCTATAAATATAAACCAAACGCTTTTCTTTACATAAATAATATAAAATATAATAATATGTAAAATTCATATAATGCATAACATAATACATAATAATGTATGCTCGTGATCAATGTTAAAATCGGGATCAAAATTGTTTTTACGTTTGCAATCGATTGAAGTGTGTTAAATGATAAATTTTGGCCGTAACTAGAGTAACTGAGTATATAGTAATACGAAAATACCATCGAAAATTCCAATGCTATTGCTTATTTATTTTATGTGTGAGAATAATGACATTATTTATTTACACATATTATAACTATGATAGAATCCAGATAAATCTGTAACATTGTAAAAAGTGTTAGTAGTCTTACAGTTTTAGGTTATTTTTACTAACACACATTTCAAGTTAATTTCAAATGTATACTAGTATTAAGCAATACTTTTTTACTAAACTCTTTAAAATCTTGAGAGGAGAAGAGGTGAACACCCAAAATCCCCCCCTCTATACGCGCTTTTAAAAACCTGTATTATATTCCGATAAAGTATAATAAAGTATATAATATCATGTTAGCTGCAAATATTAAACTAAGACTATATGCATTTCACGTACATTTTAAGTAATTAAACCAGAATGAAAAATCACCTACATTGTAATCGAATTTATTTATTATTATTTTTTAAAACAATATAAATTAAAATCATTATGTATTAATTCCAGTTTTTCCATTTCCATATTATGATTTTACAACAAGTTATATGAACTTTTTTGACAATCAAATTGTAGGAGTATGTTTCGTGAATAATTTCAAACTAATGGATTTTTTTTTTTACACTGCATGCTTTATAGCACACGTCCCCGAATAATAATTATTACAACAAATAAAATGTCACTTATTCCCCTAGTAGCTATTGACGTCACATCATGGTAACCCTAAATTTTTTATGATTATTATTTTTATTCATTCAATCCGTCTAATTGTAAATAATGTTGAACAAATAAATAGTAACTCCACGTGTTGAATAATTATTTAGTGACCCTAAGTCTAAGGACATACATTAAATGCTATTTCAAGGTGATAAGAGAAAAGCTTTTACTGTCTCGCATGTAATACCTTTAACCTGACTACGCGTGGATGTGCTTTTAAAGGTGACAGTTTTGACGTTATGTCGAATCTAAAGTGTCATTTTTTTTTCCATTCTTTTTCTCCTAAAAGTACTTTCACTAAAATAAATTCCCGAAAAACGTTCTATAACGTTCAATAAATACATATAACATGAATTGACATAGTATTATTATTATTACTTCTATTCTTTTTTTTTCTGTCGACTTTTTAGGACATTGTCCATTATTTTGATTGCTAAAAAACCCTAACTTAACACATTGGGAAACAATATTTTTGATACTTATTTTATAAATATATAATAATGTCTGATTTATACAATATAGACATTTTTGTTTTCTCTATAAAATACCGAACATAATGGGATCGCATAATTCGCATACGTATATGAACATAGTAAGAAGTTTCGATTTTTAATAACATTTGAATATTCAATTTCATCACACTACATTCTCCTTAGGTCAATTATTCTGTGCACAAAAATCGCATTGAATTAAATATCGGTAATTATGTCGTCAGTATTACAAGTAAAATTCGGTTTATATAAATGTATACATAATACATATGAATAGGATTTCGCTAAAAGTGAATTATAGTGTACATTTTTTACAAATTTCTAATAAAAATCAATTTTTTTTTTTTTTTAATGCCAATTAATATCAATAACAGATTCTTTTTGACATATTTTAATATTTCAGTATTTTGAAAATAATTTAAATATGTTAAACTTAATTTTTATGTATTTTATTTAATTATTCTCAAAAAAAATATATATATAAATAATTAAAAACTTTATTATAAAATAAAATAATTGCTATCCGATAAAAAAATTAAAAAACAATATTTTCTATTAAAAAAAATTAAAAAATGACTTATTTAATTTTATTGTAACAAGTTAATTAAGGATGCTAAATAATATAAACATCACAATTTTCCATCACGTTATCTATTAAAAGCACATTTTTTTTGTTAAAAAGTACCCATCTGTCATCTGTGGATAAGAAATATTGATATATTACGAATAATTCAAAATAACTTTTTACAAAGATGATACGAAATTTTTATTTTAAAATGATGTATTTAAGTATTAAAATAAATATTAATTTACAATAAAACTGTATTTTTCTAAAATTTTTGAACAGAGTATATTTTTAACAAAGTCATATTCACTCACATAAATGTTGGTTATTATTATAATAGCCTAAATTATTGGTGTAGTATGTTGTGCGATTTTAAAACCACTCAATGTCGTGACAGTGACTAGGACTCGTAAAAACTGACAACCGCAATAACTATAAATAATTTCGTGCGTAAATTCTATTATTTACTGTGGTTGGTTTGTTGAAATAGTCGTTTGAGGGTGGATTTAAATATTTTATTTTATTTTTTTACGAATGTCCGACGCAATTCAAACTCATTTTTTTGATAACGTTATATTATTTTAATTTATAAAACTATATTGTCGTACCAATTACCATTCAACTTATACGTACCTATTTGAACACGTGCGTTAATATTATACATGTATTCGTATACACGTTATCGCAAAATATTAATCTATTTATTTATTTATTTTTTTTTTTTTTTTTGTTTGCTTTTCCCTATTTATTTCAATGCTGACTTGGGTTTTTCTATCCAAATTAATTGAACGACAATTTGTCAACAACCCGAATATTGTTCATTAATTATTCATCATCAGATATACACACCACGCGTATATATTTATATAATATACGTATAATTTGATCATGGCTTGTATTATTTTGAATATAACACGCGAGTATATATGTCGGTCCGTACACACATACACACACATAAATATATATATATATATTATTATGTAGAGGTGGTGGTACCTACAGCAGGTTAGGTGTTGTTTTGCGAAAGCGCTCACGCACGACTCGCACACAGACAATCACGCACAAACATTTTACACCACAGTGGCTTGCCGTTTTATATTTGTGCGAAAGGTCATCGTCATTGCAACTACGCACGTCATATTTTTACAGGTACATATGTACAATAATATCATAATATATGGGCAGCGATTTTTTTTAACTGGCGTCACCGACAGGAAACTTTCGAGGCTTTCGATGAGCGCTATAAAAAACACGAAGTAACGAAGTATATATTATAAGACATTTTTATGCATATACTTTTTTATAGTTTATAATTATACCTGTATAGACACACTGATACTGTTGGCACGCACGTGTACTTCATATGCATCCAGAGGATTAATAATTTGTTTGCTATTCGGTGCTGAGTTATGTCAATATAATTGGGAAGTGAGTGGTGCCAAGAAAGGGCGAAGGTCCGTCGTTATATTAACAATATATACGTTTTTTGCGAATAAGAAACATACGGGTGGCATCAATCATTAGTGGTCACGGAGGTCACAATGGGGTTGTATAAGCATAATAATATAGCAAACCAAATAGTCGAAAACCGACGTAAACGGCCCGCGTGTATATTATATATTGTGTATACTGTATAATATATATTATTATGAACACGGATCATTTTTTTACGTCAAAATGTATTCAATTATGTCTTTAAATATTTAAAAAAATTAAGTCCAATAATATAATGCTTTGCAAAGGTAAAAAAATCACTGTATACTTATATCATATAATATCCCTATTGCACGTCGGAGAGGTAGAAACCTGGGAAAACCGAACGTGCTTTTACCCCACATATAAGCATTTGCATACTAATTATTATAATGTATATATATATAATATTATATTATTATGATGTCGATGTGTGCGCATATACTTTATAGTGTCACGTCACATGACGTGTGCAGCGAACGGTCCGTGACCAGATAAAAAAATTAATTTGGTCATAAATAAAAAAAAAATATATATATATATATGTATATTTGTGTGCTTTTTACACGAGTTATACGTGTTATATGTAAATCCGCTGAATGTCGACAATAATATATGATTAAATTCACACACCATACAGCACGAACCGGAATTAACCGAGTTTTGAGTTGCTAATTAATTTGATTATCTTGATTAGGAATATTGTATTTTTAAATAAATATATTACTATAACATATAATACTCGTATTTTATTACGATTTAAATTATATGGATTTATTATGAGTATTTTATATTATATAATCATTAGAAGGTAGTCTCCTTACTTGTTTCCGGAAACTTATTTACGTCTATTCAGTTTTGACGTACCTATAAAAGCAGCTGAT